TTCGTTTAAACTTACGGAGCCGCGAACTTCCACGATATACTTTTATTTGCAGGAAGGGACTGAATGATTCACGTCGCTGGAAGAGGGTCGGACGATTGTCGCTTCAGATTGTCCTCGTCTCCTTGCACCTGTGGGCGACGTCCTAGGGGGACTGTCGTCCCACTTTGCAAGAGGGACATGCGGACGGCTTTTCTTATTGTCGCAGGTTTGTGCGGGCCGGAGACAACTCGCCCCTCCGAAAATTACTTTCGACTCCCTTAGTGACCCGAAAATAAACCGTAAAGTAAGCAACGTATATAAGACCGGTTATACCGGAAGTGTTTCATATTTTCGTCAGACTTTGGTTATAACCTGTTTAGAAGTGTATCTTCGGGGCCGGGGGTGGACCCGTGAAGTGTTGTGTGTACCCTTTTGTGCGGGTGCGAGGTGTAGTACTCCAGATAAATTATGTTACACATAGGTCTCAGTTTCAGTCTCTGGGGGAAATAATCGTGATAGGGGACATACACACCATTTCGTTTGTCCCTCTTAGTTTATCGACAAAGGTGCGTAGGTTTTCTGAGTGTTATATTATTTTTACTATACGTATTACATATTTGTACGATGTGTTTAAGTTTTCTATATAGTTTTTTTCGGCGTTGTTATTTATATATTTCATCGGTCAGACCATTCGGTTTTGCCTAGTTATTATTGGTACTTCTTATATGTCGTATGTTGTCATTAAGTTCCACGGTTATTCGACAGGTATCGTAGTCGTATTCCACAGGTAAGGAAAAGAAGACCTACCTCACCATTTACAACGAAATCAAATTTGTTCATACGTGATTTGTGAGATAAATCATGTCACTATTTCGCCACGTCACACTTCCGTCCGTGCGACACTTGTTAGTGGAGAGGGGTAGAGTGTCGTCACACAGACTGACAGGCCGAATGTCGGTCAACCGGGCCTTTCGGGATTGAACTCAAACTAGAATCACTCATTTTTTTTTTTTGTTACGAAGGTCAAATCGGGAGGTTGACATAGGTCTCGACGTCTAAACCTACGACTATCGGTTGAGGGACCGTCCGCGCCGGGAGTCACATTTCCACCACAGAGCAGATTTTGTCGACTCGTGTCTTTGTGCGGAGGTAATCGTAATTCGGAGTCCTATTACTCATTGACAGTTTAATGAAATTGTTTTGTACTACGGATCACGGTCGTATCTTGTGTCGGTAAAACTCATGGGTTTCTAAAATACAATTTTTATATAGTACCTCCCAGTGGGAGGTTTGTATTCTTTGCGTTTCTACTTTGAACGTATACATATGTGTAATAGCATTGACACAAAGTAATTGCGGTTCTCCGGTAATTTTCAGTAAATTTGTTTTCATTGTTTTTTTTACCGAACCGGCTAAACTGGGTAAACTTCACAAAAACCCCAATAACCCTCTTTAGGAGGTCTAGGTAAAACTGGTACATTTCCTATTTTATTACCGGTCAAATGTTGGGTCTCTCACGTATAATGAAGCATTATGACGAAAACCCGCCTAAACTGGTACTCATACCCTATACTCCCTCCCGGTGTTCTCTTGTATATAACACGTATCGTCTCATATAAGATTCGTACCTGACTTTTGGGACTCGCGCGCCATACGATTTATTAGCTATACTTTAAGAATTATAATGTCATGGTGTGATTGAAAGAAACGCGCCGTGGTTCGCTTACGTTCGTGTTGTGTGTGTATAACTAAGTCCAGCGCTGTTGTCCGCTCGGTAAGTGCCAATTCGTGTAGTGCGATTTCGATGACAGAAGATCCTTCACCCCTCTCACATCTCCTTTTCTATCCCTTGGTTAACTTAACTTGCCCAGTCCGTCCGGCTCCGATCATACAACAACCAAGGGAGGTAATCGTCGGGATGTCTTCCGCGTCACCACACACGAGGCATGCACTAGGGACGACATGAGTGATAGACCTACGCGATGTAAGATGTAGATGTGGTTCGTCGTTTGATCCGCGACGCCCGGTATGTGTGCCCGCGCGGCTGATCTGTGCGAAAACTTAGCGCCGGGCGGCTTATACCATGTTTTACAGCGTTTAAATATGTTAAAGGTGAGGGTGAGTACGGTTACAGTATATTCGCCGTAAGTAAAACGGAAAAAAAGGACGTTAAGCGTCGTAAGTCAACTAAGCGTGATCTACCCGCGCTGAGCTCATGGTGTGTTTCAAAAAGAAAAGTATTGTCTGCCAAGACCACCGGGGAGGTACCCTTCCAGCCAGTTCCTCATTGACCGTCGGACAAGTCAGACACGGCCTTGTTCTGAAGGGCGTTGGGGGAAGACCACCAGAGACGCGGGCGGAAGGTCACGGTGTAGTGGGGACCCAGACTGTAGAGCAACCTGGAAGCATTTTCCCACCTGGCCGACAGAGTTCATTGTGCGGTGAAAAACTGTAACCTTTCTAAAAGCTCTACCAGGTGAAACAGTGCGACGATTCATCGGTAGACGGTCTCTCTGTTCGTCTACCGTCACAAAAAAAGGTTACAAGGCAGAGGTACCAAAGGGATCCCCTACACACACAGTCTGGCCGGTGTCAAATGTTACCTTGTGTAACTCAGAATGAGTGCTCAGGACCAGAAAGTGGTCGTTCACGGCTGTCAGTCGGTCGACCAGGGGTGAGAAGACTTGTAATTGTGTCAGATTGCGCGGTCTGCGCCTCGCCGACTTAGTCCTCGAACTCTGACGATGCACGGGACCACAGAGCCTTGGGGACGGTGCACCTCGTGCGTAGAATAAACCCACCTCATGGTGTGTTGTGAACGGATCAGACGATGACCAGGGCGCCAAAAGTCACACCGGTACTATGGTTGGCGGCAACAAGGGGTGCTTGCCTCGCTATGTTTCTGGGATTATCCGGTTAGACGGGTACGGAGTAAGCGGCTACAGTGAGTCCGTGGTGGGACCCTCACCCGGGCGGTCCACAATGAGTGCCTCAATGTGGTATATGCAGTTTTCCTCAGCCGGGATACTATGTAGACGACTCCCCCAGCTTTGCGCATAGAGACCGAGGACGGGATGGCTTGGACCTGTTTCACACACGGAGATGAGGCTCTGGACACGGGGGAGAGCTCACCTCTGCGCGTTTTGACCGGGAGCAAAACCCCAGGGAAGGGGCTAGGGTTCCAGTAGTTACGGACACTCCGTCACGCCGAAGCTGATGGAGGCTACGGAACTCCCGGATAGGATTTAAAGTACACAGTGCGTAGTTTGGCCAATTTCACTCAGGGACCAATGGAGGTCTGGGGGAGTTGGTGGGGTGGGGCCAACAAACTACCACCTTCCTGGACTAATGACGGGCTTTGCGGAGAACCGTCAAGTGATCTCCGCGGCCCCTGAGTCATGGAACAACTCGACCCTCCCGATACCAGACTCCTCTCCAGTACCAGGGTGGTCTTTACAGTTCATTCCTTAGGGAGTAGGTTGTGAAAAGTTGCGGTTGTAGAGACTTGATTGGACCCTGCAGTCCACGGCAGAAATCTCCCCCCCCCCCCCATGCATTCCCGGCTTCGGTGCGTCACTACCAAAACAAGGACAAAAAGTACACAAAGAGAGTAAAGGTTCAGAGTCGAAGGAACGGGAAGCTCACTTGGAGGTGGACGAAGGAGTAGGGGATTAATTGGAGTGCGACACGGGTAATAGGAGAGAGGGTAGACGGATTATCAGACGTAGGTGTAAGGGAAGTCACGGTCAAGCCAGAATCAAATAAGGATCGCAAGTCGGTCATAAAGGATTCATAGGGACTAAGGTTGCACATGGACTGGTCGAAGCACAGGATGGGCAGGGACAAGATGGAGGGAGCAGACAAAACAATCGGAATAACTGACTAGAGGGCACATGGCTTGCGAACGCGGTATTTCGTGGAAAAACGTAGGATTCGGAGATAGAGACGTCAGCCACGATACTCAGGAGGTGAGACACAGTAAGTCAGCAATGTGCAATAAACGCTTATATGTTAGGAGGGCAACGGTAAGTTGCCCTCGTATTTGTCCAGCTGTTGAAATTTGCCTATATCCAGCATTATTCCCGACTTGTCAGGGGTTGGTAAAGCCAGCATTATGACATCTCCCGAAGCTGTTAGCGCTAGGATAAACCCGATAAACCGCATACTGAACCCTGACAACCAATAATACTTGGTGTGCCGATGCCCCGACGACCGGTCATTCCGAATGCAATCCCAAAGGGAATGAGTGTAAAGGTGAAAAAATAGTGCAGTGGAAACACATTATAAAATGGCATTTACAAAACAGTCAATTAAAAAGCAAAAGAGAATAAAACATGAAAAAAAAAGGTACATGAATACAAATGACTAGGGGTGCGCCGAATGGTAAATTCTTGGCCGAAACCGATACCGAAAATAGGAAACAGTTGGCCGAAAACTGAATGCCGAAAGGCCGAAAATGATTAATAGAAATATATATATATATATACGTATATAATGTATACATTTTTTACCAATGTTGTTCAGCTACCTGATTATGGAAAAATACATGATTATGGCAACACTTAACTTAAATAATAATCATTTTTTACCAATGTGGTCCATAAAACATTTATTCAGCACTTTTGAATGCATACAGTACATTCATTCCAAGTCAAGTGCATTTTCTTTTCTCTGTAGGATAACTACAACAGAGTGCATTCAGAACAAAGCCAAGGTGCTTTAAAACTGCATAAACATCTAGGCCAGTAGGCCTACAACAAAATAGTGTAAATAAAGACTGTAACAGCCAGGCCTTCAACAACAACAAATGCACCTATAAGTTTGGTAACCTAACGTGTTGTTGTGATGACGTAATCAAAACGCGGCGACAAGCACGGCGCGCGACCATGCTCGCGGCTGGCTCACAGCCAACATGTCTGCCGCTTGGAGATATTTAAAAATATCAGAGAGAGGGGCGCGGATTGCGATTTGTAAAACGTGTTCAGCTGACATTTCTCTAGGGGGTGTAACTGCAAAGACTTTCAACACTTCGGGATTACTCCACCACTTGGCCGAAAGCCGAAAGGGCCTTTTTAACCATTTTCGGCCGATAATTTTCGGTGGTCGAATATTCGGTGCATCCCTACTATTTAACATCAACATGTTAACATAACCTTGTCAAATCATAGCATGGCTGGATTAGCATTTAGCTCAAAGCACAGAGCTATGGAAATGTTTGCAGAATAAGTGTTGTAACATAATTATTATAAACTTTGACCAATAATGAACTTGTTAAGTAAAAAAAATAAGTTTATAGTTGTGGTTATATTGATTGAGTAAGTGTCGTAACCGCAAGTGTCTTCACACAGGAAATATTTCATTAAACAAAATCGGACTAAACTTGTTGAGGGTACAATCAATTACATAACAATTTAATGGAGCAGATCAACTTCGTCTCAGTTTTATGTAATTTGCTTTATTCTTTAGTTACAGGCATTTTTGAATATGTATAAGATGAGTAATGATTAATTTACAACAAATGATTACGTCATTCACACCCCATTACTGAGTTCAGACATCCTGCAGCATTGGCAAGAGCCATTTCCATTGCACACTGGTCAAGTTCCTTCAAAAGCATTAAATGAACTATACCAATTTAAGACGTTCTTGACTTGGTTGAAGTCTGGTTGTGTATGACTTGGAATGCATAATAACAAGATGCAGATTCATATTACAAATGTGTGGTAAAGAAAAGTAAAAAGCAGCTAGTATCAAACAAAGCAAACATACATGCCATAAATTAACAGACTTACATTATTTTTTCTGCTTGTCACTTTTTTGATTTCACTGAATCTCTGGATACAAATAAAATAATTTCATCTTATTCCAACACCTTTCATTAATCTTGACAGTAAAAGCATTCATTTTCTCATTTATCAGTGAGAAAAACATGGTTAATAACTGTAAAATGTTTGATTTGTCTTTCTTTTATGGAACTACATGAACAATTGACGATTGATTTAGTGTTAACAAAGCTGGAAATAACAGTTTTGCTCCTGCTTGTTATCATCCCCTATTAGTATCGACATATTAAACTTCAAACTAAATTGTTAGCAAAGATTACACAATAACTCTGCATAGATCGCAGTATGACTCAGGTTTGCTGTAAACACTACAAAGGCATCACACACATTTTCAATTTAGAATTACACTTTTTATCTCAGTATGCAAAACAAATTACATATAATCAATCTCCTAATATCCATATGTATATCTTAAACCCACCAGAATTCATTGAATATGCCAATACAAAAGTGGAGTTGGATGCATTCCATCACAAAATGTTTTTTTGTAATTCAGAGTGAGCATTGTTAGACAGCCAGCCTTTGAATGAGTCATCATTATCTGCAAATAGAGAGCAACCAGTCCCACAGCAGGCTTTCCTGCTGGTTAAATTTACAGCCCCCCCCTCATCTTTTAAAGCTTTCCCCTACTGTTATGCTGCTCCAGACTCCTGGGATTGTATTAAGTGTTGAGAATGTCAAATGGCAGTGTGAGCACCCATAACTAAAGCTAATTTGCAAGGCCATTTATTACTACTAGATGTGTGCATGTGTATTTTTGTCAATGATGGTGCATTGAATGTTGGTCTTAGAACATGGAACATTGGCCTAGAATACATGCCATTAAACAATATGTTATGTACTGTTTGTGTTTATGTGAAGGACTATTTGTATGTTTGCTCCATGTTTTAAGGTAAATACTGTATGTCTGGCCTTGTGAGTGAACACGATTGGTTCATGTTCTTTGTCCACTTCTGCTGTTGTGAAACCATTGAACAGGGTTCATGGCGATGTCAATTTCAAGTATCACCTGAAAAAAAGGACATGTCAAGGGTTCTTACCGCACACTTTTTACTGGTATTGCTATGCATGTGAGGCAAACAACCTGATATTGACACTGTGTGGCATAACTTTCCCTCTGACCGCTCCCCCCTGACCATCAATCACCAAGGCGGCCAATTCATCAAGTAGCCCCGTCGGTCCGGCCCCCTTGTGACAAACTAACGTTTTTCCAATTTAAAATCTGATATTGATGGAGCACTGCGTACTGCTGCAGCCTCTTTTGAGCCTCGCTGGGGCCAATATTGTTATCCATATGCTTACTAATTTTCCTTGGTCATAATTGAAGTCACAACCTTTCCATACAGGATTCGGCTACTGGCTAACTACTGTGACTTAAGGAAAAATATAGAAAGACATACCCAATGTTGCTTGTTCGACAGATTGACCTTGTTTGGGTCTAGTTGTCTTCTAGACTTGTGGTCAAACCATACACCAAAGGCTACTCGTACACCTTTTTTTCAGTTTGTGTTGATATTAGTTTGCAGCACCTCAAAATAAGTCCTTCTAGACCAGTGTTGATTGTAAAGAGCAATCAATTGTTTCAATAATTCACACTGGGTAGTTTATTTAATTTAAAAAAGAATATCCGCTGATTTACAGACGTCTCTTTCCCCATGTTAGTCAATGGGAAAAAGTTTTTCTGGGCCCAGTCACGGACTGATACGGAAGTTGCAGTACCGCCGTTTGGACACAACGACTTTTGGGCACAGAGTCCAGCGCACTTCCTGGGGCTTGAGTAGATCGCTTTCTCACCAGAATAAGTCCCTGAGGGAGGATTAGGCAAATGAAGCTGCTGACGTCACATCTTCTTGTTCTGCTTTGGGTTTACTGGCAGTCTTACTTTGTAGTGGTTTATCTGCTATTTATCTTTACACTAAGGCGTGTCTGCTGCTGAGCCTATTTACTATGCATACGACAGACCTGGAACAGGGTGATGCCGTTATTGTTATTATTGCACTATTGTAATTTTGCCTGTCTTGACTGTGCTAAATAAAAGACTGGCTTCAGTAGAAGCTGCTGGGTCGCGTCTTCCGAGTAAATCGCCTGAAGCGCCGACACCTCCTCATCACTCCACCGCTCCCATGTTTTCTTTTGTGTTGCCATAAGTTAGTCTCTCTCCGTTGGTGCACTGGGCTAATGCTAATGCTAATAATGCGAGCAAATAAAATGGCGGCTTCACAAAACTTTTTTTTTAGTTTTACGGGGCGTGGTTTGCAATTCGCCCAGCCAATCAGAAATTGTTAGTGTGGCCGACACACCCACAAACTATTTCCTCCTCAGGAAAGTTCTACCTCTCTAGCAGGGACTATCTGGGGGTGAAAAGGTTCGCGCAAACTAGGGACTAGTTCCAGATCCTTTTTGGTGTGAAACCAGATCTCCCCCCCATCGGCCTAGTTCGGGGGGAAAAGTACTCCAATGTGAAAGCGCCTAAGGAAATGCTACTAAAATAAAATGTTAACAACTCTTAATGTTCATAAACTATAGACTAAAGATTATTTCTCACCATTGATGAACCGAAAAGGAATGTTATTGTTTCCAAAAACCTACTTTGCCGTACAAATCATTGAGATTTCTGGGAGTTTTCGCTTTAAGCTGTGCGCGCTCCCGCAAGGTGGATGCATATCTTGGAGGGCATGCATATTTCGGCATAACACCGTTCGCTGCTCGTCATGCAAGTGTCGTGTACTTAAGTTTAATGTATGTTTAAATAATTGTAGAGTCACAAGCGTGCATTCATGGTCGCGCTACAGAAAAGGGAGGGGAAAAGGGATGTTTAGTGACGATTTAAACCTTATTTATTGACGAACGGAAGGGAGCAGGAAAGGCTGTCAGTGGCAGAGTCGGTCACTCTGTGATCTGCACCCATAGTGAAAAGTTTATCTTTTCATTATACTTTGTAGTGTTTTAGCTTATTGTTTTGTTTCATCCTGCATTTTACTTTTTATTCCACTCAAAACGTTCTCATCATTATAATTTCCACTTTTTTCCAGTTAAAAAAAGAAGGTAGGGAAATACAAAATGGCTACAATAACACAAACAATACAAATATAGAGATGATGAGATCTGAGGCTCAGTTATCGCATAACCATCAAAACATTTGTTTGACCTATGTGTGTGGAACCATACCAGCTTTAGTATTATTAAACCTAGAGAATGTTTCAGTTTTGTAAAACCCTATGAAATAACAGCCTACTGTATGGCAGTTAAACGTTTTCTTAAACTAAGAATCACAATCATCAAATGTCTCAAAAAAGTATTGTTTTGTAATTGTAATCTATTCAGGCAATCAAAAAAATCTCACCTAGAGTTTTCTGTTTAGAGCAGGGGTGTCAAACTCAAGGCCCGGGGGCCAAATCCGGCCCGCCATTTCATTTTATGTGGCACAAGAGCTTGCAATATAATAAGTTTATTATAATGTTACGTGCCGCTTTACAGGAGAACGTTGCCCATAAACTATATGTCCCACAATGCCTCTCATTTTGTGACATGCGCAATGAAGAGACTTGCAATTATTTTCCCTAGACTTTTGCTTTCAGACGTAGTTAATTATGAAGTTATTACCCTATCCGATAATAATCCAATGCAGAAGAAATATTGTAAAATAATACATTATTTTATATTTATTCTATGTATATTTATATAGTCTTAAAGTTACCAGGTAACTTTAAGACTATATAAATATACATAGAATAAATATAAAATAATGTATTATTTTACAATATTTCTTCTGCATTGGATTATTATCGGATAGGGTAANACCGGCTAGTACAGGTAGTAGCTAGTACACATGTAACACGGGGTGTGGGCAGGTGGTGGACCTCACCACCTGACCTCACCCCCTGTTACATTTGTAAGTGTTCCGGCCACTCCCTGGAGAGGTGTGGCCCACACCCCACTGGGCTGGGCTGGGCTGGGCCGTTTTGATAGGCTACCTATGTTCTATCTATCGGATAGTTTCACTTTCACACATCAGGCCCGTAGCAGCTGTCACTGCGCAGTGAACGATCAGGAGTGAGTGACTGAGAGACCTAGGCTACGGGCCTGATGTGTGAAAGTGAAACTATCCGATAGATAGAACATAGNATAGAGAACTACGGCAGATATGTAACATTTAATGCAGCCGAACCGTGTATTACAATGCCGTTATGTGATGACCTCCAAAGAGAAAAGCAAGCACACTCGGAATAAAGTGTTTTCGGTCTGTTTCCGGTATTTGTTTATGACGATGTGATGTGACATGTGAGACTGGAATTGCACAGGGGGAAATAACGTATCTATGGCACCATTTTAGATGCGGATTTTGTTAAACTAATACGTTTGCGCTGTGCACCAACACTATACATTGACGGGGAAGGGGGTAGCAATAAAGATAACACCATTAAACAGTTACACAACATAACAGAAATAATATCGATAGCAGCGTCCCTAGCAACCACCTTGGTAACAATGAAAACGTTGTATGGACACAATTTCCTGAAGTAATCTTCGTAATAACTTGCAAACTAAAGATCATGTACATCCACTGCACACATAATCTGAAATAACAACTCATATTTCTCGCATCAAATGACATCAAAGCGCATTTTAATGGCCAAACTAACCTTAAAATAGGCATTTTCCACCGAGAATAAAACGAAGGTCGGCCATGTTTTTTCTTCTTCTGCGGGGAAGATCACGTGACATAGACGCCAGCCATTGGAAATGAATGAATGGTGCAAAAAAACGTAGGGATCTTACAATTTCAGAGGCGTTTTTGTAGAAATACTAAGTCCCAATTGTGGACCAACGTGGTTATTACACGTTTAGATGTGAGACTGGGTTGGAATATATGGTTATTAATAAAACCCGAAAATGAATAGGTCAAAATAAATATGAATATATAAACTGAATGGCCTCAATAAAAATGAGTAAAATCGACAAAATACATCAGACTATTAAGGGATTATTTTGACATTCAATTTGTTTTAAATCTAAGTTCTTTGGCTAGCCTATTCTCTAATGAACCAAATATGGAAATGTTCCAGCCCTTGAGCAAGGCACTGGAGCCCCAAACTGTGAGAGCTGTATACCAGTATTAAATAGGAGGTCTAAAGAGTGCGCTTTACGGTGTACAAATGTGACGATAATGTTATTTATTTTTTGTGGAAATATTGGAATAAATCTAAGTTTATTCAAGTCCAACTAGCAACCCCCTCATCCCTCAAAACATTTCAGTCCCCTCACACAAACACATGACCGGCTCTCAAGCCAGGGGCGGAATGGCCATTGGGAATACCGGGAGTTTTCCCGGTGGGCCGGTGCTGTGAAGAAATTTAAAAAAAAAAAATTGTTTTTTCTTTGCATATCCTACCGGCCCACATTTGTTAGTGTTCCGGCCACTCCCTTTTTCTTTTTTTTTGCTTACCTAAATCCTACCGGCTAGTACAGGTAGTAGCTAGTACACATGTAACAGGGGGTGTG